AATAATTTATACAGATACTTGTGATTGTTTCAAGTGTGAATAATTTATACAGATACTTGTGATTGTTTCAAGTGGTGAATAATTTATACAGATACTTGTATTGTTTCAAGTGGTGAATAATTTATACAGATACTTGTGATTGTTTCAAGTGGTGAATAATTTATACAGATACTTGTGATTGTCTCAAGTAGTGAATAATTTATACAGATACTTGTGATTGTTTCAAGTGGTGAATAATTTATACAGATACTTGTGATTGTTTCAAGTGGTGAATAATTTATACAGATACTTGTGATTGTTTCAAGTGGTGAATATCATTATACATCTCACTTGAGTTTTGTAAGAGTTTTGACAAAGTTGACAACCTAGCAAGTGAAAAACAAAAAGTTTTCATAAAAGACTTTGCATGCCTTCCTACTTCTAGACTAATGAAATTAGTTTGATGCATTTTATCAAGAGACTTAAATGATATACATCAAATCATTGATTTGTTCAGTAAAAAACTGATGAAAGTATTCAGCTTCAATGAAATATACTTTTATATTGTTTATGTGCAGGTGAATGTTTTACGTGATAGTTTAGTGTGTGTACTTATTGGATTTGAAAGTTAATATGTTGTAATCACGCTAATGACTATTTTGAAAATGTAACAATTATTGAGTTAAACCTTTGAATATTTTCTTTTAATCATCAAAAAGTCCAGTTACAAATGATCATGGATTATGTCACATCAGGCACCATGATAGAGTACAAACTTGTAAAAGGAAAGGATAACACACTTGTGGAGATTGGTTGTTTGTTTTACCTTAGTGCATAGTTGATAACAGTATGCCCCCACAATTGTGTGTGTGTGGGGAGGGGCATCTTTTGTGGTTATGCCACTGGTTGATAAATCATATGTTATTCTTAAAAAATACTTCAGTAATAGTTTACACAATAATTAATTCCAAATTTAATGTACAGGGTGGTCCAGAATTATCTTTATAATTTTAAAATTTAATAATTAACTAAGAATATACAACCATGCAATTTACAACATTTTGTATCCCAACTCATATTAACTCGATTACTGTTGAAAAAAAACGTATACACACAGATCATGGCACTAAAAAGTATTAAGACTTATCTCTCACTCTTGAATTTTTGCAAGTAGCATTTTATTAATAGTTTATGAATTAAAAAATGATGTTTATATAATTAATGCTCTTTAAGAAAAACAGAATTCATATTAGTCTTGATAACTTGTAGTTGAAATTTACTGTTATAATTGTATAATTATTACTGTCACTCAGTTCCGTTGTTCTATGATAACATCTAGTATGCATTTCACCATCCTTTTAGAGCTGTATTATGATAGAGGAAATCACCATGAGTTCACATCATTGGTTAAGGAGCTAGTAAGACCAGGAGAGCTAGCACAGAATACAAGTTACAACTTTGATTTTGTCAACGTTGAAAAACCTTATGAATCTTACACAGGATCAAATGTTAGACTCCGGTAAGATGTTTATATTTTTAGTTTTAAGAAACTTTTTGTGTTTTATTTATATTTTTAAAACCAACAAAATATTGCACAAATTTAGAGAGAACAACTCAGAATTTCATAAAGTTTACTAGTAGATAAAAATTGAGGTTGTTCATATTTTATTTTTGTAGTTGAATCCAGTCTCAGGGAAGCCTTATTTATGTGTTAATGTTGTGACCTCGAGTACAGGTAATTATAGTACTTGGATGGGAGCATCCTGCCCTGAGGACACAATGGCACCATTGAATTTTTAAAATATATAGAAATCAAAATTTTAGTCATTTTTCCACACATTAAAAACATTTTCAGACTCATAGAGTTGAAATTTATTATATGAAATAGTTTTACATATTTAATTGTATATATGACTAGAAAAGTAACATTTTGATTTTAGTTTGATTTCAATCTGGTCAGAATTAACTGAATTTTTTCTGAACATGGCATGTTACCCATAAACCCTAGGGGAAAAGTCAATAAAGTTTTGAACAAAATATCTCTAATTTGAACCTTGTAACTTCAATACAAATATGTTTCATTGCTTTTAAGCAATCACTGTTTCCATTACGATATCTTACCTCCTCTTTCATAATAGCTTTTCTGGACTTGTACTTCCCTCTATACGTGCCAATTTTGCTTGCCACTAGCCTTGATACTCCTACCTACCGTCGTATGTTTTCATGGGAGGCAGCTGCTTGACAGCATGCAACAACATTCTATCAATAGGAGAGCAACACAACTTCTAGCACAGCTGACTCCGTCTATGCAGCTTAGCTCAACTTCGTTTCTTGATTGGCATTCATAGTATTAAGATGTGTTTTACTTCATGGAATTTCTCACCTTTATCCTCATTCTGATCTGGGTTGCCTCTTACGTCCTATCCAGGCTCTCCAGTGTTACATGGCTTCTGTGGTTCCTGTTCCCATTTGTTTATTTATTATAACCTTCCCTTTCATGTTATATTTCTCCTAATATCCTTACAGTTTGGATTTGCCTAGCTTATACTTCCCTCTCTCCTGATGATTTTTGTCTCCTCCCATCAAATCCATCACCTTCCCATGTCCCTGGTTGCCCAATTCCATTGTCCTTTAGTGGTTATAGTTCTTGCCGGCATGTGGGTCACTCCCTATACATTTATCTCACATTATTTTCATCTGACAGCTTCCTGGTCCACAGGTTACTGTCTACTTCCCATCACCATTTTGAGCTCCACAATTTCTCTATGAGTGGGTAGGAGCTCTTTTTATACTCTTCTTTTTTTATAGGAGCCTTTCTCACATATAACATATCCGGCTCAGTGGCAAGTGCTGCCTGACCTGGTATACTTATTCTTCAACCCATACTTTACGATCTTTCAGGTCAATGATGCCCACCGTTGAGATGGGGTGTTCCACAATACCACCTGTATTTTTCTCTCACAGTGTTTTGCATCATGAATATGTTTGACCTGGACTGTACACTCACGAACTGACATTTTTTAGCTGTATGAGAAATGGTCTGCTTTTGAAAATATGGTTTTGTGGTGGTCACCCATTGCACTGTCTACAGTGTTGCTTTCCTCTGAACTCTCCTATGCACCCCCCCCCCATTCTTCCAGTGGAGTATGGGAGTCCTTATTATTTACTAGCTCCTAGCTGCTGGGTGGTAGACCATTTGAGGCTTCCTCCTTAGCAGGGCAGTGGTATTTTGCTGATGTATAGACACACCTACTGAGGGCCTAATGTTCTTTTTCAGATGCTACCTGATTATGGACTGAATGATTTTTTGATACAATGCAGTTCACTCCTCTGGCTGGGTATTTTCTTTCCTACTGTCGCCTGGATTTCAGTTCCTGTGGGTACTTGTATTGGTTGGAACTGGACCAGCCACACAACTCCTCACCTGTGAGTGGCCTAGGTACCCTCCTCCTATTATGGACTGGATGATTCATTCCTAATGATACCTGTTTCTGGACTGGAGTTGAACCCCACATTCGTCCAGATGTCGGTTCCTTGGGGGTACTGTTGGTACTGTTGTTGGACATGTACTATCATGGTACTGTTGTTGGACATGCACACATGATGATGTGAGTCTTTGGAACAAAAGACCTTCTTCCCTTCCAGTTCCCATGTCCGAGGTGAACGGTAAATGACCCTCTTCCTTCTATAGGCTGGGTATTCCTATCATGGTACTGTTGTTGGACATGCACACATGATGATGTGAGTCCTTGGAACAGAAGATCTTCTTTCCTTCCAGTTTCCATGTCCGAGGTGAACAGTAAAGAACCGTCTTTCTTTTATGGGCTGGGTATTCCTATCATGGTGCTGTTGGTGTTGGTTGAGGTTGAATTCTCCATTATGGTCTGTCATGCCCTAGCCACTCTTTACCAGAGGTCTCTTCATTTAATTTATGGGGCTCCTCCTGTGATTTCGCCCTGACTGCAACACGTAATGTTCATGGGCAAAGAGTATACCTGGCTCAAAAGTGATTTTGTATTCCATGGGTGTGTCTTTTATTCACACACCCCATGGGCTTTCTTTGGGTACTTCTGAAGAGGCCCATCTACAAGTTAAATGAAACTTTCTGATGAACAGTAAAAACATTGACTTACTTATAATTTTGATATGGTTAAAACTTATTTTTGTTGTATACCAGTGATTGTGTAAACTGCATGTGGTGTTTTTCAAACCAAAACAGAGGTAACATTTATAGTTTTATAAAATAAAAAATATAGGAGAGGCTTGCAAAAATGTACAAAGACATAAAATTAAATAATTGAAATGTACATAAGGTAAACATTTTTACTTGTAAACATATGAAATATTTGCTAGTTTTGAAAGCTGTGAATTCATACAAATATTATGTATAAAATATTTTGTTTGTAAAAGCTACATAGTATTCAGAAGGTTCACCTGAAGTTTCAGACTATTTCATCCAGTTTGTTGAATAAACACACCAGGGGATTTTAGGGTTAAAATATAACAAATTATTTAATCCATGGAAAATGGCCATTAATGAAGCATATTTGCCATTTTATTACATAACCCGGGAAAATAAGGAAACCAAATATTGTGATGAAAACAAAAATAAAATGTGTAGAATTAAGTGTCAAAGACTAACTGCTAAAGTTATAATTAGTGTAAATTATTACTAAGATATGAGTGATAACATAAACTATGATTATCATTATGAACATATAAGTGTCCTTACTGAAGAAAGATCTAACTTTCAAACGTGCTCACGTTATAGGGTTTATTTAATTGATTTTTTTGTACATTTGTGTTTTCCTAACATCAAATATAAACATATAGTGATTACAATGCATTAATTCATCAGGTTGATGCAGTCACTATTAATACTTGTGCTCCTGTAAATGGTGCACATTAGAACCTCAAGTAGTAGCATATAAGTCATAGTATCTATAATTGCACTGATAGTCAGTTTAATCTTATAATTATTCTAAAGAATGTTTGCCTCTCCTTGCCCTTATACAAGTATTCCATAAAGGTAACCAAGGTTTCTATCTTTATCTTGTAAGATGCACTTCAGAGTCCTGGTTGAGTACACAATTATTTATTTGTTGCTAAATTTCATGCAAACAACTAAAAGGATTGCAAGTTAAAAATTTGAAATATTTGACATTTCTGAAATTGCATCATTTTTCTTTACTTTTTTAAAATGTAACCCTTTTAATTGTTTTTCATGAATTTTATTCTCCCTCAGGACAATTCCATTTATTATAATCCCTACTCTTTTTAGAAGTTCAATTGATAGTTGTAACTAAAACAAATGTTCTTGGACAAATTAAGTTTATTTGTGACCCAGCTAGCCGTGAGAATCACAATTTAAGTTCAGCTTAATTTTTGAAGGCTTTGTAAGAAGTCAACTAGTTGTTGAAAAGGTAAATTATTAGTCATGGTGTAAATATAAAACTTGTATTGAACTATTACAATTAATGAATTCTTGTTTTCCCAGAAAGATGTATTGTCATACAAGTTCATTGTAATTTGGACTACTCCAACATGTTTTATTTTCATGATTGCATTTGTCATTCAAGTTATTTGTTAGCTTAGTGGTCAAACAAGTTCAATCAAGTTATTGATTATTTTGCAATATAGCACATAAGAATTAATGGTTAAGAAAATAACTGGACATTTTCATGAGTGTTATTTGAAATGAAGTAAAAAAAAATTTAGTGTTTCAGATGAACCCTTTACTTAAGTTGAGTAATTTTTATTTATTTCTTACTAGATTTTACTTAATGTAATTCTTACCTGTTCATTCACATGATTTACTTTAAGTATTTACACTGATTATGCAGATTACAATTGTTTTTAAACATCAACTTGAAATTTCAGCTGTACATATACAGTAGAACCTCTACTATCAACTGCCTCTTAAAACGGGCAACTTCTGACAAGGATCAGTACCTTTTAGTCCTACTCTTTGTGTCCACTCTTTCTTTTAAATTTTGTTCTTCAGATTGATCATCTCTTCATTTGGAACAACAACCACCAATACAGTCTCGTGGGTGAAAACAAGACTCCAGGAAAAGACCATTGAGGAATCATTTGTCTTTCATGTTCTGGTCATTGCCTTTTATGATTGGCTGACTTTACTTGTCTTTCATATTCTGGTCATTACCTTCTGTGATTGACTAACTTCACATGTCTTTCATGTTCTGGTCATTACCTTCTGTGATTGGCTAACTAGCCTCCTTTGGGTTTCTTTCCTTCATTTCTTTTGCACACAACAAACATCTTGAGAACCATTTTTCTGATTGGCTGATTTACTGACTTAGAGGGCTTAAAGTTAACACACCTTACAGACTATGAACAGAAGATCAGAGGGTTGAAGAACCACCCTGTTTCTTTAAAATTCTTGGTGGGTAAATAAACAGGTCTGTGAAGTTTAGTAATATTTTTGTATTGTTGAACTATCACTAGGCTACCAGTGTACATACTAGTTTTATTGGCAAACCTTGAAGGTTCTTTGAAAAAGACTGTAATTTCTGCTGAAGCCGAAACTAAAATTTCCAAATATTTTAAACTAATGCTGTAAATTTAATGGAAATGTCCTGGAATTTCTTCAGTACATTTTTTCCATGATATCAAATATATATTATTTGCATTTATATGAACATGTATACTTGTGATGTAAGAACAAATGTCTTTAACTCTCTCACTATGAGCTCATACTATAACTTTTAATAGAGTATGAAATTTTGCAGATTATCAGTAAACATTACAAGGCTTTTGTACACAAAATGTCAATTTTTTTTATTAAGGTTTAAGATTTTTTTAAGTAATGTTTTCTCATGCATTTTTTCTTTTCAAATGTAGACTATCTATCCAACATGCAAAGTGATTTTCATTTTAAGATTAAAAATACTTTATGCATCAGAAAATTTTTAAATTTCAAATGCGAAATCTTTATAAGCTCCAGATAATTATGAAATGTTTCTTTTAGAAACAAACTGTATATTTTATCTGTTATTTTCACTATTGTATCTTCGTATGAGTTTGGTCAATTGGACCAAACTCATAATCACCATAAAAAATTAGGAAACATATAAATTATGTTTTTTTTTCATTCTAGAATGACTACAGATTATAACACTAAACCACATGTGTTTAATTTAACCTGTTACCTACTGTGGCCATTTTGTCTTATCGTGAGGGCAAAATCACATATGTGAATTGAAAAAATTATAGAGAACTTATTTTTTATTGGATTTCTGGTTTTATTTGTGTAAATAGTAGCATAACATTCAATTATTTGTATATAATTGTGTTGTTTAATGAAATTTGAAAAGAAATTTAATTTAAAAAATTGCAAAATACATTTCAGACTAAATAAGCACCATTTAAGTCTACAAATTCAATGACATGGCCTTTGACCATGACCATAGGAAGACTCGTGTCGTTAGAGTTAAATGTTGTGCACTGCATGCTATATAGGTTCATGCGTACCTTCAGTTTTCCATAAAGATTTACTATATATACGTGTACATATGAAATAAAAACACAATAAAATCATTGACAATGAGTATAAACAAGGGGAAAGAAATTTACACGCAAGTGCCATCAATGAGGGAAAGCAGGAGTCATGTTTGTGAGGTGATCAGTTTCTGGAATCAGATCTCCTCCATTTGAACTCAGTCCCATGGGGGGTCACATTGTAGAGGCTTTACTGTAGTTACTCTCGCATATTTTCTTGTGAGACAGTTATGACTTTTTCATGTAATTGTTTGTGTAAAGTGAGAATGAAGAAAGTATTGGATATGAAGGAGTTTTTAATCGAAAGTCACAAGCTATATATATATATATAGCATTTTCTTATGTAGATATATATATGATAAAATGCTACCTGCATGCATTTAATATTTCTTACAGGTACTTTCTGCGTGTTACCATAGTGAGAAGGTTGTCAGATATTGTGAAAGAATCGGATATCATAGTGCACACCCTGGCTTCCTACCCGGAGATGAACTCTTCAATAAAAATGGAGGTTGGCATAGAAGACTGTCTTCACATAGAGTTTGAATATAACAAATCTAAGTAAGTGGAGTGTTTATTTCTTAGACTAGAGTTTGTGAACTTTTTCAAGATACATATGTTAAATACAAACTATCTTACATTATTTAATATGAATGATGTTGTCTTTTGAAACTCATTCATACTGGTTCTCTATAAGATGCAAAATATATTGTTTCTTGGTAGCTGTTTATAGTGTTCTATACACCACCATTGTCAAAAAAACAGAGACCATAAACATAACTTCCTTGAGACTTTTACTGTTGTCAAAAAACAGAGACCATAAACATAACATCCTTGAGACTTTTACTGTTGTCAAAAAACAGAGACAATAAACATAACATCCTTGAGACTTTTACTGTTGTCAAAAAACAGAGACAATAAACATAACATCTTTGAGACTTTTACTGTTGTCAAAAAACAGAGACAATAAACATAACTTCCTTGAGACTTTTACTGTTGTCAAAAAACAGAAACAATAAACATAACTTCCTTGAGACTTTTACTGTTGTCAAAAGATGGAGACAATAAATACAACATCATTGAGACTTTTACTGTTGTCAAAAAAACAGACAATAAATATAACATTTTTTGAGACTTTTTTTCCTTTTCTGTTGGTAACAAGATACATTTTATAACTTAAATGAACTGATGTATCCTAGAATTCTTCACAAAACCAAAAAGTACAGTCAGAAAAGTGGTGGTGTGTTGACATTTAATTCTGTCATTGAAAGATGAAAAGATTTTGTATGACTATAACACATTTTCTTTACTAAGGTATCATCTGAAAGATGTGATTGTGGGGAAGATATATTTTCTTTTGGTTCGTATCAAAATAAAACACATGGAGATTGCTATTATCAAGCGTGAAACCACTGGTTCAGGGCCCAACACTTTTAATGAAAATGAAACTATTGCTAAGTATGAAATTATGGATGGAGCTCCTGTAAGAGGTGAGTTTGATAACCTGTTAGCTATAAGTTGTATGAAATTATTGATGGAGCTCCTGTAAGAGATGTGTTTGATAACCTGTTAGCTATAAGTTGTATGAAATTATGGATGGAGCTCCTGTAAGTTATAGCTAACAGGTTATTAAACTCACCTCTTACAGGAGCTCCATCCATAATTTCATACAACAACGGAGATCCTGTAAGAGGTGAGTTTAATAACCTGTTAGCTATAAATTCCTAGTAAAGTAAATAATGTTTTTCAATTCGTCTGTCAGGCAGGTCATAATAAATAAATATTTGTACTTTTTGTACTTCAAGTAGAAATATTAATAAAACCTAAAGGCAAAAATTATTTGGTATAACTATAATAAAATCATAATGCAGTTTTTAAACTTAGGATTTCAGAGGTTATTTATCTTTGTTTGAATTGATGTCTTAGAAAATTGATATTGTTCTCACTAAAGTTGTGTTTCAGTTCTTATACTTGAATAACACTTATCACCAGCTGAAGGCCAAGTACTTACATGGCAAGTCAGTCTTGCTTGATCATACACTGGCCTTACTTTACACCTTTGCAAGACTCTAAAATTACAGTTAATTTCTCAAATGTTTGATGAGTACATATTTCAAGACCTAAAACAGTTTTATGACATTTGCAAGGTTTTTTTTTTGCCACACTTGTTACTGGGTCTAATGTAGTTGTGGATATTTTCTCTGACAGTTTGAAGGTCATAGGAATGTGCACTTGTTTTTTAGTTATCGTAATAAAAATATATTTAGCATACAATAAAGTATTCTGTGAAAAGTGAACGTACAAGGTGCATAACAGAGGTATCTAATAATATGTCAACTGATATCAATTTTAAGTTATTAGTGTGAAATAATCTTAATATCACATACACAAGTATCTGTATTAAAAGTTTAACATGTACATTCTGAATGCTACTGGTTATTCCCTTTTCCACATTCCTGATGTATTGAATACAGCGAATAATTAAAGAAAATGTGAATTTTTAGATAAGTAAATTTTATGAAAAATTACATAAAAGTAGAAAATACGACTGTGTAGTTCACATTTATTATCTCTTTTGCTACTGACCTGGTGGATTGCACCAATCTCGTGACCCCAAAGTGACGATCTGTTTCCGTAGCGTAACTATTAATAACTTTTAACATCTTTTGTGTATCTTCACGAAATGCTTCGAGCTGTTAGTGAATGTTACAAAATATACAAAAAGTCAGTATTTGTAATTTAGTGTATTTACTAAAGATTTGTCCATGAAGAAATAGAGTCAGAGTGTTGACTGCTGCAAGTGCAAAGTGGTTTTTATGTTAACTATATCAAAATGATATACAACCTGCACGGTGATTTTCATTTTGAATATAAAAGTATTATTTATTTACCTTAGTTTTCACATTTCATTTCATAATCTCTAGAATCTCCTAAATAAATATCAAAGTTTTTAATGTAAATGTTTATTTTTCATTTTCTCTACCATATCACTAACTCCGTTATTATCATCAATGTACGGTGCAATGAAATGTTTAAAATCAAGAAATTGAAATATGTACATACCTTCAGAGAACAGTCTTAAAATACTTTCTTTAGGTCATGTGTATAATTTCACATCTTTACCTTTTCACTAATAGTCTAATTTTTATTTTGTTTTCTTTTCCTTTATCATTTATTATTTATGTCGATGCATGTCAATGGATACCTGCAAGCGATAGAATGGTATTGTTGCGTCAGCGAGGTCACGTGACTAGTGTCACGCCACCTGCTTTCTAGAACTATCCCGTTCCTTCCGGAGTGCTCTAGCATTTACTAGATTGGGGGTGGTCTGGTATATATAAGATGATCACGGCATGACGTGACAATGTTTGTGTAGACAGTGAGTAATTGATCTGCATTCAGAGAGTATTATTGAAGTTGAGTACGTTCGTTGTTATAGCGTTTGTTTTAATGCGATTGTTGAAATTAAGTGTATCGTAAGGTTATATTCGGAAAGAATAAACCAGTTTTATTAAGTAAGGACTTGTGTCGCTAAAGTTTCGTCGGAATGAATTTACGGGAAATCAATTAACAAACAATCAATTAAGAAATTCATTAAGTATGAATGGCAGAGATACTTTAACCTCAGAAAAAATCTTTTTTTACTTACTTGGTAATGTAAGCCTTGCAGAGCAAAGCAAAGTTTTCTTTATTTTATAAAAATTATTAAACATTTCAGATGTATATTTTAAAACATGAATGATATATGATGAGCTAAAATATAAAAGTAAAATCTAAGTACAATTTAACTGTCTATCTAACTATAACATACTTAGGTAAGAAACAATGGAACTGCTATCGTGGATCAAGAAGTTACATCTATTCTATGATGACAACTTGGTGCCAACTTCAGAATAGCTGTTGTTGGATTATTGTGTAAAATTAGCTCTTTCTAATGACCATAAACACGTTTCTAGTACATACAAGTTGGCTTCTAAAGCTCAAGATTATGTATAGAAGGTTTCTACTCTGCTCAGCCAAAGAACTTTAAAACATACATGTCAATAGGGCAAGTAAATGTATTTATTGTCTAGACATACATCTACATGACTGATGTCATCTGATTCAAGAAAGCAACTGGAATTTAAGTATTTGTTTCAAGGTTTCTTTCAAAACAAAGGAATTAAAACTTAGGTAAAACACATATTATAATGTTAATTTTATTGACATACATTGATAGTAAGGTTGTTTAATTTAATTTTGAATGTTACTCAGTGACTTGTGCAAAAAGGGGTTTAAAAAGTTCATTGTCTTTAAAGAGTTAACTTTTTGACTACAGGCTGGGTGGAATCCACTCAGCTTGTAACCATGAGAGCAGTCATACTATAACTTTTTATAATGTATGCATACCTTCACAAAATTTTGCAGTTTATTAGTAAACATTACAAGGCTTTCATACAGAAAATATCAGATTTTTAAATTAAGTTTTAAGATTTTGTATTTAAAGATTTGCTCATATATTTTTTTTTTCAAATGTAGACTATCCAACTTGCAAAGTAATTTTGATTTTAAGATTAAAATACTTCATCAGAAAATTGTCAAATTTCATTTGTAAAACATATAACCTCCAGATAACTATCAAATATTTTTTTAGAAAAACTATATTTTATCTGTTATTTTCACTATTGTATCTCCGTATGGGTTTGGTTGATTTGACCGACCTCGTAACCACCATAAAAATTGAGGAACTAGATATAAATTAAGCTATTTTCATTCTAGAATGACTAGAGATTATAACACTAATCCACAAATGTTGAGTTTAAATAGCTTAAATCTCATAACATTATACACCTATATATACATTTATCATTAATATTTTATTGATATTTCAGCTGTGTCTGACTAACATTACAGAAATGCAATCATGAGGCACATGTGCAGCTCATGTTACCATATCTAATAGTATAAAACTGGCCTTTACAAAGTGCAACTGTTCTAGTGGACCAGTATTTTGTAAAATACAATCACATTTTGGTTACCATATATTACATGTGTATATATATTATTACTATTTACAAATTATTACTTAAATTTCAGTTATTTTTCTTAAAACATAGAACAGAAAATATAGAAATCTGTGATCTGTAGTAATTACGATTGTTACGAAGTTTGTATTCACTTGCCGTGAATATTAGTGAAATATTAAGTTGAAATTTTATGGTAAACTCCTATTATGAAATATTTAGCTGAAAATAGTAGATAGAAATTTGTTCTTTGTTTTCCAGGTGAGTCTATTCCAATACGGCTCTTCTTGGCTGGATATGACTTAACTCCTACCATGAAAGATATCAACAAGAAGTTCTCTGTTCGATATTATCTTAATCTTGTCTTGGTAGATGAGGAGGAGAGGAGATATTTCAAACAACAGGTTTGTTACATGCAAAAATAATTTTAGTTTTGATATTTAATTTTTTTGAGTTTGCACATTTATCAGCTCTCATTTGAGGACAATAATTGTATTTATTTCAAATATAAATCAGTTTGAGCATGTAAGGTTGTTCTGTTTATGTTTACTATACCTAAAGCACTCACATATACAGTCTAATAAACCAAATAACCTGAATAGTTTTGAAAGGTAGGTCTGCCTTTCCAATATAGTCAGGTAATTGGAATTTCTAAATTGTGACTTATTTTTATTTTGTGTTTTTTCAGTATCATGGATATATTATTTTGTTACTTATAATTATCCTGTTTCAAACTTGCATGATTTTGTTTTCTTATTGCAAGTGATGTGTAAATGAATTTTTTTTTCATACATTGTAAAGATTAAATGTGTACAGGATAGATCCAGTGCACCAGTCCCATACTGGAGAAGGAATTGTGAACATTGTTCACATCTATTACACAAATGTGGCATGCTTCTAGTAAAATGTGCACAAAAAATCAAATGAGTTAGAAAAGTATTTGTACTCAAGATATATCTGTGAATTGACAACATCTGTCTGATTTAGTCTCTGACAAGTCAGAATACAAGTGATGTTCATTTGAAGAATAAAAATACTTTTGTATCATACAATTTGCATATTCCATTTACATAACCTATGAAACCTCTGAAATGCATACCTACAGTTTTATTTCAGTGTCCTTGTTTACTGTATCTAGTATTCACTCTCCTCTACAATGAACTGTTTCTAAATGTACAGTAAAATGATAACTAACATCAAATACTTAATACCAAGTTGGATGACACTCTGTAAAAGTTTGTAGCAGATTTTAAATATATTCTGAATATGTATTACTGCTGGCATTTTAAAAAGAGCTGTTCAAGGTGAAATATTTTTTTCTGTTTTACTTGTTAAATTGAAGGAAAAGAAGAAAACCATATGAGCAGACCTTAACACAAGTAGTTTTTAACATCTTTAGATAGCAAAAAATAGATTGTATTTCATAATAAACTAACAACTAGCAAGTGAAAGGTTGTGTGCAGGTAACTCAGATGAGCATTTAATCGGCAACATATGGTATTTATGCTTTCTGACATACCACATGTCACTCTTAGTGTTTCTGAAATGTACGTTCCTTGTTCACAATCTATTTTGCATGATTTAATTTTACTTATAAGTTACTTAAACTTGCAGAAGTGTTATTATGTTTAAATGCAGTTATGAAATAAGATGCATAAAGATGTTTGTGGAGACCTTCACACACATGTTCCATACAGGTTGATTCATAATTTTCACAACACTGTTGGAGCATTGAAAAAAACCTGAATGGTTTGTCAAGAATGATGTGCAAAGGGGGACAGTTGTGTATAATAGAGAGAGACTGTGATGAATCAGTTGGTTACCAGAGGCTTGTTCAATAACTTTAACTGTTACACTTCCAGCCTGAATGAAATGTTTGATTATTCTTGATTTTTTAATCTCTCCCATACATCGTCTTTGCTTTTGTTCAAATTGTATTGTAGGCATTATAAAATGTAAAGTCTACAGTTTTTAACAAATTAGGAACTCAAAGTATCAATATTGACAAGCTAGAGTATGAAATATGAACCTCCTACATTTACTATTTGCTGATGTATCATTATATTTAGAGAACCCATCATGGTGGCTCTGCCCACCTCTTCCTCTTTTGAAAATACTTGTTTACGTATGCCTAATTCTCTTAAGTACATGTTTATAACCAATTGAATGCTCTCATTTTGAACTAATATTCCTATCAGTCTTCCTAAAGTATTTACACAGGTAAAGCCATTATAACTGTCAGAGTGTTTGAAGTGAAATGGGGTTTTTTTAGACCTATTACAGCTTAGTTAGGAAGCCTGATAAATTGCAGTGGAATTTTGTGGTATCGGTATAGAAACTATTAATTTTTTGTTATTTGAAAATAGTATATAAAAAAATAATTTTTTATACATACTCCACGTGCGAAATTCGACGAGGCTTAGCATGTACGACGGACAAGTACAAAGAACTTCATAACATCATAAGTAGTAGAGATCATTGTTTTCTATATAGTTTTTATTTAGTGTTCTATGTTTTAAGAAAAATAGCTAAAATTTATGGATTCATTTGTAAATAGTAATGATGTATATATACATATGTAATGTATGGTAACCAAAATGTCCCCATATTTTTCAAAATACTGGTATGCTGGTACTAAGGCTAAGAAGAGTAAGACATTTTTACTTTCTAAAGGTCGGTAATGTGAGCTGCACATAAGCTACGTGATTTACAACTTGTATGGTGAGATTATTAGTTAGACAGAGTTCAAAGATCAATAAAACAAAGAAATTAATAAATATAAATAGATGTATACTGTCATGAGATTTAAGCTATTAAGAACAAACATTTATAGTTTCTTCTTTAAATATGCAATCATTCCTGAAGAAAAAAAGAGTAATTTAGATTTATTTCCTAATTTTTTTATGATGGTTACAAGGTAGGTCAAATTGACCAACCCTGTATAGAGTTAAGGTAGAGAAAATAACAGATAAAATGTAAAGTTTTTTAAAAAAATGTTTGATATTCATTTCGGAAGTCATAGAGATTATGGAAATGAAATTTGATAATTTTCAGATGAAGAAAAGTATTTTTAATCAGTATTACTTTGCATGTTGGATAGTCAACATTCCAAAAGAAAAAATTCATGAGCAAATCTTCAATTAAAAAATCTTAATACATAATTTTAAAAAGCTCAATATTTTGTGTACGAAAGTATAGTAATATTTACTGATAATCTGCAAAATTTCGTTAAGGTACGCTTACATTACCAAAAATTATAGTGTGACTACTCTCATGGTTACTTTGGTGGTTACATAGTAGGTGCAATGCACCTAGCTCCATAATCAAGGAGTTAACTGTCTCTTTGTAAGGGTGCTTGTTAGCAAAAGTAGTAGGTGTTGGAACATTGTTATTTCCATTTTTGCTCATTGTCTTCTGAAAGTGCAAGCTTTGACATTCTTAATACACATCCTTCTGCTGTGAATAAGGAGGAAGTGTTAGGCATACAGCCTTTATTCCTGAGCAACCCTCTAGTATCCAAACAGTATATCACAGAGTATCATATCCACTTTTCACAATGCTTTAACAATGGTGTGTGAATTATGAATCAGCATGTATATTTGTATTCCACCGGGTGATTTGATATAAATAGTGCATAAATGTCACTGCATACTGTGAATGTGACTACAGTTGCCAAAAGTTAATTAACTTATCCTTAGAAATTTATAAATTTTCCATCAAGATAGAACTAATGCCATCAAGTATGCATTCTATAAAACTCATTCAGTGGATTTTTAAAAGTGTTACTTCTGACCTGCATTCTATAAAACTCACTCAGTAGATTCCTAAAAGTGTTACTTCTGACCTGCATTTTATAAAACTCGTTCAGTAGATTCCTAGAAGTGTTATTTCTGACCTGCATTCTATAAAACTCATTCAGTGGATTCCTAAAAGTGTTACTTCTGACCTGCATTCTATAAAACTCATTCAGTGGATTCCTAAAAGTGTTATTTCTGACCTGCATTCTATAAAACTCATTCAGTGGATTCCTAGAAGTGTTACTTCTGACCTGCATTCTATAAAACTCATTCAGTAGATTCCTAGAAGTGTTACTTCTGACCTGCATTCTATAAAACTCGTTCAGT